TATTTATATATATATATATGTATAGAGATAGATAGATATATATATATATATATATATATATATATATATGTATGTATATGTATATATATATATATATGTATATGTGTATGAGTATATATATATATGTATATATATATATATATATATATATATATATATATATATATATATATATATATAGATATATATATATGTATATGTATATATATGTATATATATATATATATATATATATATATATATATATATATATATATATATATATATATATATATATATATATATATATATATATATATATATATATATATATATATATATATATATATATATATATATATATATATATATATATATATATATATATATATATATATATATATATATATATATATATATATATATATATATATATATATATATATATATATATATATATATATATATCAGAAAACATTCTTTTAAAGGTGCTGTTGACTTGAAATTTTCCCTAGATGTTGGTAACAGCCAAAGAAATGCATATATGAAAAGAAAACACATCTAATTCATTTACAAAATAAATTGTGTGTAATAAAATAAAATGACATAGGAAAAAAGTATTGAACAAATGAAGAAAGGGAGGTGTAGAAACGCAGTGAAAGCTCAGACAGCAGCTGAAATTTCTCAGTAGTTATTCAGCAACCTTCTGCCCTTACTCATTGTAAATGAATATTCCCTGCTTCAGTACAACATCTACATTACCAAATATGTGCTATCCAAAAATCAACATTTTCAACATTGTTAATAATAAGCATTTCTTGAGCGTTGAATCAGCATATTAGGATGATTTCTGTCAGGTTGTGTGACACTGACGACTGAATTATGCTGAAAATTCAGCTTGACAGAAATAAATAACATTTTTATAATATATTTGCATAGAAAACAGTATCATCAGGGCTTAATTTGTGCCGGAACACGCCCGATCCGGATCCGGCACCTCTGAAATCTGATCCGGCACCTCATTTTACCAATCCCCTTTCTCTACTACCTCTATGTCCTTGGGTAACATGCCAGATATATTACCCCGATCTGTTCCGAGACTTTGTAATTCACAAATTAAACTTTGAGTATCAACATTATTTTATAATAATTTTTTTACCGTACATGTATTTATATATATATATATATATATATATATATATATATATATATATATACACACACAAATTTGAAATAAAAGTGCTGAACCATTTGTTTACACATCTCAAATAATCCTATTCTGTATCTTAACTTATTATGTATTTCTTTTCTTACCTTAGCACTTTGAACTACCATTGAGAACAAAGTGTGCAAATTTACTAATTGTTTTTAAGCTATGTGGTTGCAAACAATTTATATGGGCTGAATTTAAGCAAACTAATTTAATTAAGTAATGTTCGACTTGCGTATAAATTGCAAGTGATGCTTTCAAAATCCTTTGAAAGCATCACCTGTGTTCTTAGCCAATCATCATCAGTTATGTGGTTGTCCCACCCCTACACACAAGCCAATCATCATCAGGTATGTGGTTGTCCCACCCCTACACAAACAAATAAGCTAGTCAACATCAAGTGTGTGGTTGTCCCACATCAACACACACAGGCCAATCATCATCATCATCATCATCATCATAAGTGGTTGCGAACAATTTATATGGGCTAAAATTAAACAAATGAATTTTAGTCATGTTCGATTTAATTTGCTTGTTTGAATTCAGCCCACATAAATAGCTTGCAAGCACTTACCTTAAAAAAGAAATTAGCAAATACAATGATTTTTTTTTTTTTTTTTTTTTTGGAAGTCAAAATAACTTAATTGTATTCAACAACACAAAGGTCTGAAACACTTAAGGGAAAATAAATAGTCAGTACATTTTCATTTTTGTGTGAACTATCCCTTTAATATACACACCAATTACTTGCTTTCTGATATTGTTAATTGTTTAATCTCATCCACCATTTCCCGACAACACAAAATTAGCCAAGAAAGTGTCGTGTCATGTAAACAAGAGGCCAATAAAATCACCCTCACCCTTCAGGCATTCTCCCTCTCTCTTTCTCTCTCTCTCTCGCCTACTCTCCATCCACCTGTCAGACTGGACAAATTGAATTTGTCTTCCTCCAGTAGCTCTCTGAAGCTCTAAACAGCGCATTAGTGTCTACAGTCATCGGAGCTGTCAAAGGCAATCTGTTTAGTGTGACGCGGGGCAACGTGAATAGCCACGCTGTATGGCATTACACTTGTGCTCTCGCTCCCTCCGCCGTTGATAATTGCTTCATTTGAAGTGGCCGATCATTATGGCTCTAACGCAAGGGCTCACGAAACACCGCCTGACATTCCTTTTAGCTCTGAAGTTTCATTTACGAGACCTGACGTCCGGATTTTCTCTTCTCAATAGACATCCTAAAATGCTCACTGCTGTAACCAACTTGAAGTCAGTTGTAACTATGTGTTGGAATGTTGAAAATTGCATGTTTGCATCTGACACAAAGGTTGCTGGAATAGTTGGTAGTTCATTCTGCTGTGTGACCTCTGAAATAGAGACTAAGCCAAAGGAAAATGAATAAATGAATGATTATGTACATTCAATATGTTCACAATATGAATATGCCAATCATCATCAGTTATGTGGTCATCCCACCCCTTTACACAAGCCAATCATAATCAGGTATGTGGTCATCACTACACACAGTCAATCATTATCAGGTCCCACCTCTACACACTAAGGCTAGTTATCATCTGTTATGTGATTGTCCCACCCCTACACACAAACACACACACACACGAGCCTATCAGCATCAATTATGTGATTGTCGAACCCCTACACACACACACACACAAGCCATTCATTATCAGTTATGTAGTTGTCCCACTCCCACACTCACCAGCCAAGCATCATTGGTTATGTGATTGCCCTAACCCTACACAAACACACACACACACACACACACAAACACACAAACACACACACACACACACACACACACACCAATCATCATTAGTCATGTGATTGTCGCACTCTGGCACACACACACACAGACACACACACACACACACGCACACACACACACACACACACATGCTAATCATTATCAGTTATGTGATTGTCCCACCCCTACATTTACACACCAATCATCATTAAACATGTGATTGTCCCGCGCCTACACACACAAGCCAATCATCATCAGTTATGTGATTGTCACACCCCTACACACACAACAACAGTAATCATCGGTTATGTGTCCCACTCCTCCCACAAAACACACACCAGACAGGCCGACAAAGACTTGCAAAAAATTGCAAAAATCATAATGTGTCCAGTATCTATTTTTCCAAGGTGTGTTGGTCCATATTGTTTGCAAATATTTAAGAAATGCGACGAAATGACTGCCAGCTTCTATCTGTTCTCTCTTGATTTGTGTCAATTATGAATCAGAATTGAATCAAACCATCTGAATCATTAACCAGTCCTGTTAAATCTTAAACTATCTGTTCTTAAATATGACCAAAGGTCACCAAAGGTGAATATACTAATATAAAGCACTTAAAATCTAAAGATGCAAACAAATTCTCTACTCTTGGTGGACAACAGGAAGAGTTTGAGTTCGACAGGAAATCAACCGTAGTCTGTGGCTAAACCAATTAGCTGATCATCCAGTTAAAGCCTGAAGACTATTATATTCACAACACTTCAGTGTCTACAACTAGATCATTCAACTCACTGCACTGTGACGAATTTCATACTGAATAGATAATATCGTGATGATAAGGGCCAGTTATAATAGAGGCAGAAAGCCAGCTTGATCCATGATCCACAAACATCTGCGGGCGACTGCAGGCTCCTGTGGGCAACGACGTCAGCAAGTAAAGCTGAAGCCGTGTTTATTAACACAAGCTGACATTTGTGTTTGAATAATATTTAGACAGTGTAGAGGTCTGGATGGAGATTCAGTTGAAGAACAATGAGGCAGTGAACAAACCCAGTGACCTGACACTGACAGTACGCCCAAAGCCAGCCAAATTAAATTAAATTACATTGTATTAATAATTATTCTAATAAAAATAAAATAAATAAACATTATTAAATATTATTATTAAAATTAAATTAAATTAAAATAAATACAATTAAAAATAATAATATAAAATTAAAAAAATATATAAATATTTAATTAAATATTTTAAAAAATAATAAAATAAAAAATAATAAAACTGAATTAAATTAAAAAATAAATTAAAATATAAGTAAAATAAATAATTTAATTTAATATTGAATTAAATATTTATAAAAAAATTTTT